AAACTTAAGCGACACATGCCTTTACTTAATAAAACTGGTTTATTCTTTCCGAATATAACTTAACCGATACACTTAACTTCAACAATTGCGCTAAACAAACGCTATAGCAACGAACGTCAATAATACTCCGACCGCAGATCAATTACTCACTATCTACACACACATTACAATTCTTCTTTTATATACCAGCCTACCCTATATCTAGCAATTACTTGAGCATTCCTGAAAGAACAAGATAGTTCTAGAAACTAGAGGGCGCCACAGTGGTCATGTGACTCGCTGACGCAACAATATAATATAACTACAGATTAACCAAATCCTGCCTCATAAAGTAACTCCTAGGTCTCAATTAGCACGTGCTGTTGAATATGAAATAAAAATATACCAGAAACAAAAATAGGGAACAATAATTTTATCACCATTCTAGTGATAAAATGATTTTATTGAAAAGTTGAAATATAAAAGAAATATTTACTGGCAAAGATGAACCATCAAGTTTTCATTCTTTCTCCATCGATGACATCGTGAAATATTTCGTTTCTGGAAATGAAAATAATAAAACACATTGCTTCTCAACTATCGAAATTCTACGTACCAGTTTTAAAACTACTGCACTTGTAAGGTTTAAAATAAAATAAAGTAACTTTCTTCTACATAAGATGTGAATCAAATATGTTTGTTTGAAGTTATGCACAAAGCTACAAATGGGCTGGCTGTGCTCTGCCCACAACGGGTATCGAAACCCTGTTGCTAGCGTTGTAAGTCCACAGATTAACTAACATATTAAATAATCAGTTGGGAATTAGGTAAATTATCAACTAACCATCATATTAAATAATGGGTTGAGAACTAGGTAAAGTAACAGTTAATTATCATATTAAATAATGAGTTGATAATTAGGTAAACGAACAGCTAATTATCATATTAAATAATGAGTTGAGAACTAGGTAAAGTAACAGTTAATTATCATATTAAATAATGAGTTGATAATTATGTAAAATAAGGGTTAACTATCATATTAAATATTCACTTGAGAATTAGGTAAAGTAACAGCTAACTATCATATTAAATATTCAGTTAGTAATTATGTAAAAATAACAGTTAATTATCATATTAAATAATGGGTTAATAATTAGGCAAAGTAACAGCTAACTATCATATTAAATAATCAGTTAGTAATTAGGAAAAGTAACAGCTAACTATCATATTAAAACAAAGTAGATTCATTCGGTATGCCAATGAAGCCTACAGTAATTATATATTAAAATTTTATAAACAGTTAGTGAAAATGATGTGAAATAAAATATTCTAATACCTGTTAAACAGCGGTAGTTTTTACATATATTAGGCTCTGTTTCCACTTTCTTGCTCCTAGAATAAGAAAAGTAATTATTAGTTTGGAATTCACCACAGGTTTGAATTATCCAATGTTTAAGGTTTAGAAAACCGATATCTTACTACAGTACTCAAAATAAAACATGACAGTAAACTTGTTTATATAATAGTATTCACAGCCAGCTGGTTTACATAGTAGTATTCACAATCAGCTTGTTTATGTAGTAGTATTCACAACCAGCTTGTTTATACAGTAGTATTCACAACCAGCTTGTTTATACAGTAGTATTCACAACCAGCTTGTTTATATAGCAGTATTCACAACCAGCTTGTTTATATAGTAGGCTTCACAACCAGCTTGTTTATATAGTAGTATTCACAACCAGCTTGTTTATGTAGTAATATTCACAACCAGCTTGTTTATACAGTAGTATTCACAACCAGCTTGTGTATACAGTGGTATTCACAACCAGCTTCTTTAAATAGTGGTATTCACAACCAGCTTGTTTATATAGTGGTATTCACAACCAGCTTGTTTATATAGTGGTATTCACAACCAGCTTGTTTATATTGTAGTATTGCCAACTGTTCTTTACTATAATATTTAATATAAAGACTTACAGTAAGCTTGTTTATATAGTAGTAGTATTCTCAACTGTTGTTTACTATAATATTTAATATAAAACTTACAGTAAGCTTGTTTATATAGTAATAATATTCACAACTGTTCTTTACTATAATATTTAATATAAAACTTACAGTAGGCTTGTTTAAATAGTAGTATTCTCAACTGTTGTTTACTATAATATTTAATATAAAACTTGCAGTAAGCTTGTTTATATATTAATAGTATTCACAACTATTTTTACTATAATATTTAATATAAAACTTACAGTAGGCTTGTTTATATAGGAGTATTCACAACTGTTCTTTATTATAATATTTAATATAAAACTTACAGTAAGCTTGTTTATATAGTAGTATTCTTTACTATAATATTTAATATAAAAACTTACAGTAAGCTTTATATTAAATACCATAGTAAAGAACAGTTGTGAATACTACTATATAGACAAGCTTACTATAAGTTTTATATTAAATATTATAGTAAAGAACAGTTGTGAAAACTACTATATAGACAAGCTTACTGTAAGTTTTATATTAAATATTATAGTAAAGAACAGTTGTGAATACTACTACTATATAAACAAGCTTACTGTAAGTTTTATATTAAATATTATAGTAAAGAACAGTTGTGAATACTACTACTATATAAACAAGCTTACTGTAAGTTTTATATTAAATATTATAGTAAAGAACAGTTGTGAATACTACTACTATATAGACCAAGCTTACTGTAAGTTTTATCTATATAGTAGTATTCACAACTGTTCTTTACTATAATATTTAATATAAAACTTACAGTAAGCTTGTCTATATTAGTAGTTTTCACAACTGTTCTTTACTATAATATTTAATATAAAACTTACATTAAGCTTGTCTATATAGTAGTAGTATTCACAACTGTTCTTTACTATAATATTTAATATAAAACTTACAGTAAGCTTGTCTATATAGTAGTATTCACAACTGTTCTTTACTATAATATTTAATATAAAACTTACATTAAGCTTGTCTATATAGTAGTATTCACAACTGTTTCTTACTATAATATTTAATATAAAGACTTACAGTAAGCTTGTTTATATAGTAGTATTCACAACTGTTCTTTACTATAATATTTAATATAAAAACTTACAGTAGGCTTGTTTATATAGGAGTATTCACAACTGTTCTTTACTATAATATTTAATATAAAGACTTACAGTAAGCTTGTTTATATATTAATAGTATTCACAACTGTTCTTTACTATAATATTTAATACAAAAACTTACAGTAGGCTTGTTTATATAGTAGTATTCACAATTGTTCTTTATTATAATATTTAATATAAAACTTACAGTAAGCTTGTTTATATAGTAGTATTCACAACTGTTCTTTACTATAATATTTAATATAAAAACTTACAGTAAGCTTATTTATATAGCAGTATTCACAATTGTTCTTTATTATAATATTTAATATAAAACTTACAGTAAGCTTGTTTATATAGTAGTATTCACAACTGTTCTTTACTATAATATTTAATATAAAAACTTACAGTAGGCTTGTTTATATAGTAATATTCACAACTGTTCTTTACTATAATATTTAATATAAAACTTACAGTAAGCTTGTTTATATAGCAGTATTCACAACTGTTCTTTACTATAATATTTAATATAAAAACTTACATTAAGCTTGTTTATATAGTAGTAGTATTCACAACTGTTCTTTACTATAATATTTAATATAAAAACTTACAGTAAGCTTGTCTATATAGTAGTAGTATTCACAACCAGTTTGTTTATATAGTAGTATTCACAACCAGCTTGTCTATATAGCAGTATTCACAACTGTTCTTTACTATAATATTTAATATAAAAACTTACAGTAAGCTTGTCTATATAGTAGTAGTATTCACAACTGTTTTTTACTATAATATTTAATATAAAAACTTACATTAAGCTTGTCTATATAGTAGTATTCACAACCAGTTTGTTTATATAGTAGTATTCACAACCAGCTTGTCTATAT